AGCTTTGTGGCAGATAAAAACAAACATTTATGACAAAATTAGTACTTTAAATATATATAAAAAATACCAAACATAAAATACATCATGTTTGTTTTAGAACATTTCCAACACTCTCAAAATATCTTCTAAAGTGAAACCATTTCTTTTTCAATTTATTCGTTCTGATATTTGTTTGGTATATATATTTTTTTCCATTTCATAATAACGTTTTACAGCTGATAAAATTATATCAAATGATAGTAGTTGATTTCGTATTTTAGCTGGAAATATTTCTTGTCTTACAACCATCAGAACACAGTTGAGTGCATTATTATTTGTAAGTTTGATCCTTTCCCTCGTATTACGAAAATCCAGAACTCTAACTTCGACCATACTTCATTAGAATAGTTACAAAAGTAAAAAAAAATGTATGATAGTTTCATCATTGCTACTTCAAAAAGTACACTTCTTGTCAGCCACTACACCAAATCTTAACAAACTGTCCTTCATATATAATATTCTATTTAAAATCTTGATTTGAAACCACCTCATTATGATATCTATTGTTGGCAGTACGAACCCCAAAGTACATCTTGACAATCTATTTTAAAAAATCCACTTTGTAAGAGCTTTACATTCTTTTACTTTTTTTTATATTTTTTTTAGAAAAGACTGATAAATATTTGAACAACCAACATTTGTTTTCACCACAAGGTGCACGGCTTCGGGAATGATAGGTTCTAAGGCCTTACTAGGAGCTACATGTGTACTATTTTAAAACCTGACCGAATTGTATTAGAAAGACCATAGTACTGGAGGAAATTTGTTTGTATGTCAAATCCCCGCTGAAACTCAAAATATGAAGAAAAAAAAACCCCATCCACTTTTAGGATGTCGTTCACAAAACGTATTCCTCGTAAATTCCAAGCCCCAAAACATATCACTGTGTCATTTATTCTAATGTGGGGGGTTATTCCAGAGAGGTTGACATGCAATGCCGTCAATAAGAAGTTCGACCAAGTCTGACCAAGCGAAAAGGATCTCTTTCCAAAATGATTTGGAGTCAAGTCTGCTAATTTTCTAAAATAATGTGAGCCCATATACAGGTGAAAAAAATAGGTTTGGGGCAAAAATGAATTGAACATGTGAAAAGTGAAACTTTCTATCTGAGAATCAGTTACAAATCTTCTAATCCATGATATCTTCAGGGATTTAGCATGAATGTAAATATAAATCATCTTAACCCCACCTTTATTATATAGTTGACACATTTTGTTCTCTATTGATTTTATCAGGTTTGTTACCCCATATAAATGCATAAAGAGAACGATTTATATCTTTCATAATTTGCGAAATTAGTTCTGGAAGTGAAAGCAATAAATAGTTTAATTTTGGCAAATTTCAAAATTATGATAACAAATTCAAAATCTTAACCTGATGCCACAACATAGTCTAAGTCTGTTGACGGGAAATGAACTTTGACCTTAATTTAGTGAGCTGAAATTCTACTCATATATTTGAGGATACTTCATAACCCTTTAGTATAAGTTTCATTGAATAATGAATTACACTTTCAAAATTATATCAAAAAACAAAAACTTAAGCTTAGGTTAAGTTTTTGATGATGACGCCACAACATAGTCTAAGTTTGTTGACCCCAAATGACCTTTGACCTTGACTTTGTGTCCCGAAATTCTAATCACATGACTGGGGATACTTGATAACCCTGTAGTCCAAGTTCCATGGAATACAAACCTATACTTTCTAAATTATATTGTTATTATTATTATTTTATTTGGCATTTTGTATAACAAATAACAGACAAACATAATACAAAGTTCGAATATACATAGGCTACCTGTATAATATCTCAGTTATGGGTGCATCAGGCTAGGCAGCGTGGGTATGGAAAGAGCCAACTAAAGGACTAGAGCCCGCAGGCTATCCTCCCCGAACCCACCCTAATATTAAAAACTCAAAATCTTAACCTTGGTTATTTTTTTTATGTTGACGCCGCCGCCACCGCCGCCGCCGCCACCACCGACGCCACCGGAAAAGCGCCACCGGAAAAGTGGCGCCTATGCCTCGGTTTTTGCTACGCAGGCGAGACAAAAATAACCCCTGCGCTACAAAGGTCATCACTCTTTGGTGAGAAATTTGAAAAGGACACATGATTTTTTATGTCTTTAGAAGCTATATACTTCACAGTCAAACTTTAAATTAACGGTAGAGGCCGGGCCGCTTCACAACTCCTATTTTGCCCTTCATTTGGCATCAGCTCGTGCCAACTCGCATGTTCTTGTATTTGAACTCATGCTTGTAGTATTCCTGGACAGGGGCGGCGGTCCTGAGTCCGACTGGGAACGTTTACAAATATGGCTAGAAACAAATATAGTAAAAAAAAAAAAAAAACGTATATATCGGCTTTGGGGTTTTCTACAATGCATAAATTCATCATTCAAAATTGCAAAATCTCGCTTGGTCGCTACGCTCCCTCGCCCGAAAACACAAAACTACGATATGACATTCTGCCCAAGCTCCCGACCGTGATTTATTCATGGTAGTATTCATAATTTGAAGACCCGCTCAGACATGACGCGGTGAACCGTACTGTATTTCAAAGGGGCTTTACTCAAACTGGTTGAATTTTTAGTTATTTGCTGAGTATATTGTACGCTTGCAACCCCTGTCCAGAATTATCTAGTTTGTTTCAGTAAAAGCAAAGCTCAAAAGCATTTGGTTTAAGATCTAATATACGTCTGCTAAATGACATGTTATCATGAATAGCTTTCAGCCGAGCAATTTTCAGTATTAATTATATTTTCCATTATAAGACAACTGGAAGGTAATTGAAATAGATGTTTGTATTTTTTTATATTTAGATTCCTACATAATATAAACCTGCAGATAATTCAAAGTGAAAGTATACTATAATGGTAAGGTTTAATAGATCCTGTTTTTTTTCTTTTCATTTCTACAAACATAATTGTGTGCTCTCGCATGATTGTTTCATAGGTTATTTCCCTTTAAAGAAATAACATTAGCTTTAAATGTAATTACAACCCTAACCATTCCAATATCTGCGACAAAATAAACTTGTAGCAATTTGTCGCTAAAGCAAATGTTGAATTACACAAAAAATCGTCTTAAATCCTTTCGAATTTTCAAAATGTTCAGTCCCAGAATATGTTGTATTTCGAATTGGGATATCGGTGGTAACATCAATCAAGTCTGGCCTTATTAGGGTTAATACAGATGTCGTATGAACTCATGTTCCTACCTTGCGATGGATACTTATTTCCATTGAGATCAATATGGAAGTCCTCTGGATAGAAGTCAATGATGGGTGAATCCTTAGATTACATAAGAAAACAATTTCATTGTAAGACAATTAGGGTTTAGATCAGATTTTCTTGAAGACAACAAATGATATACAAAAAACAACATCTGCAGTACATTTTCCTAATTCAAAGGGCAAATGTGGATAGCACAACCACATAGGCCTTACAATATAACATGTATATTAAATGCTATAGGATATTAATATCTCTTTGAATGAAAAAGGGAAACAAAATAAAAATCATTCTAGGACATCAAGCTAAATCTGAGAGAATTAATTATTAGAAATGCATGCTATAAAATCTGAACGTTATCATTAACAAAACAGACATGAATAGGTGTCATCACATGTTTATTAAGATATCATATTTTACAGTTTAAGAATTAAAGAAAAACAGCAAAAATGCTATCCAAAGTTTTGAGCTAAAAACGTGGTCATCTTAATGTCTTCGAAGTGATGATTGACACATGTCTGTAAATACTTGATTACATCCATACCATGAAACTCAAGTCAACAACAAAAACAACAATCCACATATTGGGTAGAAAATCAATAACAATCGCATGCTCTATATAATAGAACACTTCATGAATGTACACGGAGATTTAGAATCGCATGTATTTGTGATTGAACTTTTGTCTTTTCAGCAAAGTTGTATACATGTATATCTCAAGACTACATATCTTAAAACTTTCCTTTTGAAGATTTAAAGTTGCAAGAAATTGTTAGACACCGTTGAACTTTTGTCTTTTCAGCAAACTTGTGTATATATGATGCCTTAATATCTTAAATCTTTTCTTTTGAGGATTCAAAATTGTCTGAAATTGTTAGGAACTAATGAAATTTTGTCTTTTCACCAAACTTGTTTGTTTCTCGCGTCTAACTATCTGAAATCTTTCCTAACTTACGTCATCCGTCATCTTTCTACTCCATGTTTCTGGCAGGTATCTCCTATTGAATCCTACAATCATCTGCTGCTCCAGGGGCTTTAACTGATCACAGGAAGGGAAATAAAGATCGTATGATAAATATTCCAGCAACAACAAGCATGCTCCGGCCATGATCAATTTCAAACACAGATACACAATCTGAACTTAACAACGGATCCACAGAATGTTTACACCAAACCCTAAACCTTATCCAAACCCTGATCATAACCCGAACCCAAAATTTAAACCGTTGATGAAAAACCAGCTGCAATTATTGGATCGCTGTTAGAAAAGACTTGGTGCATAAACTACAACATTAAATGATCCATATATCACATACAATTATCAAGTGACATTGAATTTCTACTCTTTTTAGTGTTGCCGCTCTGCATCGAATTACACACAATACTCCAGTAACAATAACTGTAAATCTAGCATGCTCTCATTTTAAGTTTAAGCAGGCTAAACATAGTACAGTCGATTTCTTTTGAAGGAAATGTAAAATGTATATTGCAAGATAGGTGCGAATGCTTGTACTGGTCAGTTGAACCATGTTAAGTGTATATAAGTGAGGGTATAATTATGGTCACAGAATGATAACAATAACTGTCCGTGGTCACCTTCAGCTTTAGCAAAATTGGTGTCAGTGCAATGTTTCAGTGTGGTGCCATGTGCAATCTGTAAGCAGAAACATTACAATGGTCTAATTACATCATGCTGTAATTCCATGAGAACATGTACTTACGGGCTTCGTTCCTTTCTCAAAGTTAATGTCGATATCCGGAAAATCAGAAGCGAGAAAATCAGAAGCAAAGGGGGCATAGTGATAAGGAAAGGACCACTTCCATGAGGCACATCCTTGATAGTAGTATCGAGACAACCAGCAGAGACCTTCAATATAGCACCGCACCTGACAAATCAATCAATCAAAAATGGTACGATTAAAGAAAGACATATCAAGGGATATGAGAAGGACTGGTAATTATCTTATACAAAGAATTTGGTTAATTTGTTATCTTGGCAGATTCATATGACCTGGGTGCCGTTTTATAAAGAGCTGAGTTTCCTCTAATCAATCGCAAGTTTGCAGTCTCCTATCTCTTATGGAAATAGATGCGATATTGATATCAATCGCAAATATAAGATGGGCCCATGGTCAATAATAATCTCTTATCATTATCATCAAATATTACAAATTGGGTATAGAAATATCTGACAACTTTGTTATCATTTCTTCATTATTAAACACATCTTTTTGAGATACCCTTTCATTCTAGATAGTTTTTTTTAATGTTATAGAACAAAACAGAACAACAAAAAGATACAAAAAAGAAAGAACAGGAAAACTCACAATTATTGCAGAACTACATATGACATTAATATTACAGTGATTTTTCACAGGTTTCTTTATTTACATGTACAACCTGTAGTGTAGGGAATCAAAGTTCAGCCCCCTGAAGGACACACCCATAATAACAAAGACATATCACACCTGCAGTATAATAATGAATAGTCTGATGGTTAAGGATTTCATTAGAAAACTTCCAGCCAATACTTTGTTTGATATTTTTGTAATTATACTCTTTTATTGTTTGTATTGTTGTAATGACTCACACTCCACAACATGTAATCAATATGCAATGTGATCACTCTAGGCTATAATAGAATAATAGACCTTATATCGATTTCAAAGGAGTTGAGTTCTTGTCATGGAATTACAATGTTAAAGAAACTGTGTGGAAGCAACTGGAAATGTTGATCATGTGGCACATAAGTTTTTGTGTGTACTGTTAAGTTTTGGAATCATCCAAATGATAATAATTTTGATCAGCCTTGCTATAGTAACATGCATGTGGCATGAAAGTTGCAGTTCGCAACCTTAGCTGTTACTTTTCATATTTTGAAAATGAGGGCAATTGAAGAACCACCCTTTCAATTGGACTTTTTTTTCTTAACATAAAGAGAATGAAAAGTTCTTAAATTAGTATTCATCTTTCCAAGAACTCAAACTTCTTTATAACGGGCAATCTAAGATGCTCAGAATTTCACATTTTTTATATGAACAACCAAAGCTTGATCACACATGCCGTGGTAAACTGATGTGGTCAACTGAAGCAATGTTTTGTTTATTAAATAAAATGGCAAGTGGGGATGAAACAAAACAGTGCCTAAAGGCCCTACAATGAAATACTCACATATATGTGTGTTATAAGATATAAATATTTGAAGCAAAGTAATTTAATCCTCCCTCATATTATACCACAGCAACTGTAAACGAAGTTTTACATGTTTATCTCATATTGCGCTTAATTTTATTCCCCACAACTACTCACAAATTGTGCACGGAAATCATGGTCAGATGAAGCAACTTTAAGCTTGTGTTGATAGTAACGCTCCTTCCCGCCTTCTTCCCATAACCTGCAAACAACAACAAAATCATTCATTATTTTCTTACAGACATGAGGGGGCATATTCTACACGTAAATGTCAAAAATATGTATTCAAGAGGTCACTTTAAACCATTATGACACATGAAAGCTGTTTTCTTTTAGAGTTGTTTACAAATCCTGTGATAGCTGAAAACCTATATTTTGAGTAAAAGCATGCCAAATTAAAGGGATAGTTGAGTTCTTCTTCTTCGCTATAAGTACAGGCCACCGTCAGGTGTATTCTCGTTCTTATTCTTAGACCGCACATGCATTCAAATTGCATGGTTATTGCTCTTATTCTTATTTATGACATTTCTAGTGCCCCTAAAATTGTTTTAAAACAATGTATACACATTGTTGCTCAGTGTTAACTCATATTTTTAATACCTCTATAGAAACAGGATGCTTTCCAGATGCTTTAAAAGTTGCTAAAGTTTTGCCAATATTTAAAAAGGGAGATAAATCTTTGTGTACAAACTATCGACCTGTGTCCCTGCTTTCGGTCTTTGATAAACTTTTTTAAAAATTGATATATATGCAAAACTTATGTCTTATATATGTAAACACAATATGTTATACAATAGACAATTTGGTTTCTAGACATTCTACAACTATGGCCCTACTTGAATTTATCGATCAACTTAATACAGCTTTTGAAAATAAGAATATTGGACTAGGAATATTTTTGGACCTATCAAAGGCATTCGACTCAATCAGTCATGATATTTTGTTACGTAAGTTGAAAAACAAAAAACTTTCAGGTCAAATCTGTGACATTAAAACTAATAACTATGATATATTAGAAGTTTCTAATACTGTATTTCTTGGAGTGACACTTGATGAAAATCTTACTTGGGCTCCACATATTAATAATACTCGGCGGAAGATTTCATGTGCAATAGGTGTATTATATAGAATACGACACTTTATTCCTCTAAATATATTGATAAATATCTACAATGCAATCATTCTTCCTCATCTGTCCTATTGTACTTTGATATGGGGACATTGTGCAAAAACTTTAATGAATCAAGTTTATGTTTTACAGAAAAGAGCACTACGTGCAATTACAAATTCTCATCCCAGAACCCCATCTGAACCGCTTTTTAGGAAATTAAATGTACTTACCATATTTCAAATACATGAATTGCAAGTTGGATCATTTATGTATATGTACAATAAGAATATGTTACCTTCTATTTTCGATAATATGTTCAAAATAACAAAGGACGTTCATTCACATTACACAAGACATGCTAATAATTTATATATTCCATTGTTAAAATACCATGCTTCACGTAGATCAGTTAAATATTCCGGAGTAATTAGTTGGAATGCAATACCTACCCATATAAAAAAATGTGCCCATCTGTTGCCCATTTAAACGTAAATACAAGAACTATTTAATGAAGGAATTCCTATCGTATGTTTAATTTAATTAGCCTGTACTCATTTGTTTATCTATTTACTACCCATTGTTTCTTTTCTCTGTACTTTGTATTATTATCTGAGGACACTGGAGCCCAGACTTTGAAAGGCCAATGGCCTCTGCCGGCTCCTCCATATTCTTTGAATTATTTATATTTATATATTTGCTTATAAGTATAATGTATTGTTAAATGTATTTTTATACGAGAAATGGAAATAAAATGAACTTTGAACTTAAGGCGCTAAGTCGTTGGTGCAAAATGATCGAATATTTGCGAGGCATCGCAAATATTAGAAACGGTTATAATGATGGATATTTCAGCCGTCTCTGATCTGATTTTGATCAAACAAAGAAAATTTTGTCACTATGTTTGACTCAGTTATTGATTATCTCTCACACACAAATATTTTGTGTGGTGCCCTCATGCAACAAAATTCAACTATCCATTTAATGAACATAATGAAGATGTCATTACCATGCTTCCTAAACTTCTACAAACATTTATTATTATCCTAAACACCACTTAAGCATTTTCAACCTAATCATAATCCTCCTCCTACTCTTCATCATCATCAGTATCATCATCCACCTCATCCTCATCGTCATCATCCACCTCCTTCTTTTCATTATCCCTCTAACCATCATCATCATCCTCCACCCCCTCTGCTTCGTCGTCGTCCTACTCTTCCTCATCAACATCCTCCTCCTCTTCATTACCCTTCCAATTATGATGATGAGCATCATCTTTATCCTCCTCCCCCTCATCATCATAACCACCATCACAATCCTAATCATAATCCACTAACCTTACGGTATCCTCCTCTGCATCTGCTGGATTCTGATCATGATACAACAAAAATACCCCAAAGGTTATCTTCTAAAGAATAAAAAACTGGTAATGTTGATGTTATTGTGTAATGAAAAAACAAAAATGAGTCAAATGAGTTGAATCGCAAAATCTTTCAAATATGAATTATCTCAATCAAATAAAGTACCATATTTCTAAGAGATATTTAAAGTATACATCTACATTTCTCCCAAAAGTTAATCAATGCAACAAGATTTTTTTTTAAATACAATTTGATGAGATATATACATTTTTGCTCTTTGTAAATAAAATCCTTTATGATTTGTTTTGCATTTTGCCTGATAGATGATTTTTGCATGTTTTTTTTCTTCAGTGTTTATCTTTTGGGGGCTAAAATCTTTTTCCAAAATATCTTAAATACAGATTAATTCTTTATTAGGGTTATGCAACATTCTTCAAAACTAAGTATGAGATTCATCAAAATCGGGGGGTGTTTCACAAAGACTAAGATCGACTTAAGTTGGACTTGAAGTATGGCAGGCCATTCATGCCACCGGTTGCTCTCACCATTGGTCTCTCAATAATGATCTTGAGATACTATATTTACTTCAATAATGAACCATCAACAAAGTAAATTCTGTAGATTTGTGGCCACGATTTGTACGCCCCGTGAGAAACCAATGCCAGGAATGGTTTCGAGGAACTAGTGGCATGAACAGCCTGCTATAGTTCAAGTCCAATTTAAGTCGATCTTAGTCTTTGTGAAACACCCCCTGGTGCTACATTATGTCAATCTTGTATTTCAATACAAAATAGAAATAAAATTTTATTTTTAAGCAAGCAACTGTACAAGACGAAACTAGATAATGACGGAAAATGTTAGTTTTGTAAAAGAGAGTTAGAAGCTATTGTGCACTTCTTTTGTGTATGTTAATTTAGAAACAAGAAAATGAAATGAGGCAGCACAATGAATATATTATGAACATACACGTTAAAATACTATTTAGTGACTCGGTAACACTGTTAAAGGTTGAAAAACTGCGTAATTTTTGTATGAAATGTTACTTATTGTATTCCTTCTACTGTATTGACCCTCTAACATGCAAACAAACCTGAAAAATATCTCAAACCACAAAGATATTTATGGTTTTCTTTGAAGGCGTCACTGTGCGACACCCTCTAACAGTATATTCTCCTAGCCAATTTCCCAATCGTTTTTTCATGAAAATAATGTATAAAATGGTTTTTTTTTGTCATCACTTAAATGTCTGGAATGGTATATGAAGCCATTTTTCTGCTTTGTGACGATTTCCATTCACCTAAAATATAACAAAATTTTAATAATATAGTTGCGAGAATTAAGGAATTAAGGAACAATGTTACCAAGTCCCTTTGAATTTACAAGAGAAACATCATTTTGGGTTTTGAAGAAAAGAGACATGATGCACTCCATTGCAGAATAACATTGATAAAGCAACAATTTTTATAAGAAAAGCTGAGCAAAAGGGTTCCTGTATTTGGTGTTATAAATCATCTGGAATATATTGAAAATATGTAATTGATCTAAGACCAGTTTGGAAATGCCCCCCCCCTTTAAAATATGAAATGGAAGCTCTTATTACCAATCATGTCAAAGAATATGTTTTACCTAATACGTGATGATACAAATTTTGCCGGGAAACCACCTACTAATTGATATATTTGGTAAATTATCATATCGATCCGGCCTGGATAGATATTGCGTATGCACTACAACATTGATCATTTGGGCATATATTTCTGTTTTTTGCGAATTTAGGTTTAAGTTTTGCCATCTAAACCTCTGAAGGCAATATCTAAACAAACTGAATAGATATTTCGCAACCAAAACCGTTGAACCGCAATTTTACCACTACCAGTCTTTACCTTTAAGTGACAGTAATTTCAATTTATATTTGCATGGGAACAAATAAGAGAATCACCTTGTAACCAAAACATAATTATGTAACTTTATGATTGTTCCTATGTTATTTATTTTTTTACTTTATCCAATAATATTTATTTTTAAATACTGGTATTACACACCTTGTTGGCATTATCCCTTGATGGCATCCTAGCATCTCCATGCTGATGGTCCACCAGTAATAAGCTTTAGTGGAGCAAGAATATAGCATTAGGTTTGAAGAAACATGAATAGGGACTTTTAGATTTGCGTGGACTGATACGTGTGACGTCCATTCAAAGCAGTGAATTAAAAGGACGTCGATCGTAGCAATCCCCATTGTCTTCGTGCGAATCTAAAAGTCCCTATTTTAAGGTGAGCTGGGACATGCATGAATCCTTAGGATAATTAACAAAGGAAAATTCCTTAATTTTTTATTCATTGATCAATATTCAACCTACATCAATCTAATGTTCTGGTGCTACAAATGTCTTCATAACTGAATTTTGAAACAACTTCACTGCATGAAAGTTATCACTTAAGTTTGCCCTTTCATGATATCATTCCCATCACCTGATGACGTTCTGTGAAATAGATGAGCGAAGCTTTTGCAAAAGAAATGAAAAGATAAGAGAAGCAAAACTCTGCATAACTTAATGGAATAGGTTAAAAATAGACCCACTGCTGGCTTGTTCTTCTTGAAGGTCTCATCTTCTTCTTTACCCAGGTCGGTCATCAACTGCTGGACACTTTTTAGGTTGACCACTCCATTCTCAGTCAAATAATCCTAGGAACGACGCGAGAAATTGCTTTATTTAGTAAAACAATCGAGACAGGATTTTTTTTTTCATTTTCTTTTTCCCCTCAAGTGGATAACCATTCATGTGGATGATTGGAGGGTTTCAAGGGTTCTATTTTACATGTTTTACCAACAATCTCTTCATAGATAATTTCCTTCTAAGCGCTCTACCAAATATGGACCCTGTCCATAAATCATATCACCAAGCTGTAATCATAGCCCTAACCATATACCTTTAGTTGAAGTAAAGCCCAAAATGAAAGCAATTGTCAGTAGCACATGTCGGATCACTATTTCAAGGAACTGGTAACGAACCCTGAAGTATAGGCAACTCTGTTCCAAATCAACATAAGAAAATTATGATGATGAGAATATAATTTCATTCAATATCAAACAAGACACTACACCAAAAATTATGAGACACATTTCACCCTCAGGTGAAGACGACCATGTTCCATCTTCATCAGCACAACATTTTTACCTTTGTATTGTGGAGAGCGTTCCTGTAAAGTCGTATCAGTATGTCAATCGCCCTATCCCTGTTAAAACAAGTATAATGACGAGTTAAATAAACTATGTCCCATTTGCAGGTCAAAAAAAGGAAAAGGTTATGGCATTTGAAAGACAATACTCATCTAGAAGTTCCCTCAAAACAACAGGGCTTGAAAATGTCTTTAATAATAATAATAATAATAATAATAGTTAGCTCTTATATAGCGCATTTAATTACCGAAGGTAATACCAATGCGCTTTACAAATGTAGAAGACAATAGAAATAAAGACATATATAGAAATAATTACATATAATTATAATCAAAACTTACAAGTAAGAAGGCATGCGTTATACATTAGAAAAATCGAAAGTAGCTTCTATTAAAGGTGATACATGTAATATTTGAAAATTATTATAATGGTGAGGAAGGCCAAATACAACAATATAAATATGAATAAATAAATAAACATCAGCATTCAGTCAGTCACAAAGATGGCATGTGCGGCACCAACCCTTTGGAACCAGTACAAAATTAAAAGGAAATGTTGAACAAATATGTCTTGAGTTCTTTCTGAAATATGTCTATGTTTGATTGAGCACGGAGAGTGCTAGGAAGAGAGTTCCAAAGGGTTGGCGCAGCATATTCAAACGACCTGTCACCGAAAGTTTTGGTTCTGCTTCTATTTACTACTAGCAGATTTTGCGAGGCAGATCTGAGTGGTCTGGTTGGTAGATATTGGGCTATCAACTCGGATAGGTCTGTAGGAGCAAGGCCATGGATTGCTTTAAATGTGAGCAGGATAACTTTGTAGTGGATGCGTGCGGGAATAGGTAACCAATGGAGCTCCTTTAAGATAGGAGTGATGTGATCGTATTTACTTGACATAGATACAAGACGGGCGGCAGAGTTCTGAATTCGTTGGAGTTTGGAAATGTCTTTGTCCGGAACGCCGAAGAGAAGACTGTTACAGTTGTCCAGCAGTGATGTGACAAACGCATGGATCAGTATTTCTGTTGTCTTCTGGTTAAGGAGGTGGCGAATACCACCAATTCTTCTTAAGGCGAACGAAGCTCTGCGACACACCAAATTTATGTGGCGACGAAGAGAAAGATGTTTGTCGATGACTACCCCTAGGTCCCGGACAGCTTCAGCGGGCTTGATTTCTCCAAAGCAGAAAGGTGGCAGTTCCTGGTTGCTCTTCATGTGAGATGATACCTGTAATACTTCCGTCTTGTTGTCATTTAAGAAGAGATGGTTACCTCCCATCCACGTTCGAACCTCCTTAAGACACACATCAAGCTTTCTGATTGCTCGATTTCTGTCATCGGAGTTCATAGAGATGTACAGCTGTGTGTCATCTGCATACATCATGCAGGACAGGCCATGTGCATGAATTATCTGTTGAACTGGAGTTGTATAGCATACAAATAGCAACGGGCCAATTACTGATCCTTGGGGGACCCCCCATCGAAGACTAATTGGATCAGATGTTGCTTCATCAACCAATACTCGCTGTTGCCGATTGGAAAGATATGACGCTAACCAGTCAGCAGCAATGCCTGTGATACCAAATCTTTCTTTCATCCCAGTTAGAAGAATATGATGGTCGACCGTATCAAATGCGGAGGTAAGGTCCAATAAGACAAGGATTGCTTCATTTCTGCTATCCAAAGTTTGGAGAAGATCATTTTGGACTCTTACTAGGGCTGTTTCCACACTGTGATACTGCCTGTAGGCAGACTGCCTAGACGCCAGAAGAGAGTTCCCATCAAGGTATGACATTAGTTGCTTACAGACGACACGTTCAATCACTTTTCCAAGAAATGGTAGATTAGAAATGGGGCGGTAGTGATTGAGGCTCTCTGGTTCTAAAATGGTTTATTTCAGTGTGGGAATGACGAGCGAGGACTTGAGGGAAGCTGGAAAGATGCCCGTCTG